TCTGAAGTTACCCTATTTGAAGATGAAAGGTGACTTTGATTGGAGTTGCATGGATCTATGGAAAATATCAGGCCTTTCCCCGCTTCTCCTCCACTCCCAAAGCGTTCATTTTTTTTTTTCAAATCTCCTCTTCCCTAACACCTAAGATTTACGACCAATACTTAGGTCCAAAAGTATTTAAGATATGTAAAACTAATTCCTTACTTACCATAGTTTTTGTCAATACAGTATGGATTTCTTCCTGCAACAAAGATAACATGCAAATCTCCAGTAACTTAATCAAGGTCAATTATGGTACATGGCTTTTTAGCTAACTTGTGATTCTTCAGCTTATCCCTTAGCCTGAATTTCAGATGATTACTTCGAGTCATTTCACTCCCTAAGGGAGTAAAAACGACTCGAAGTTATTGTCTCAAATTCGGGCTACTTATCCCTAATTGCACATGTGCTTGTCTTACGGCAATATTCTAAATACACTAACATCGTGTTCAAATTATAAGTCAGAATATGGGAGCTTTATGATCCATTTCTACACCTTAAACGTTTTTACAGACCTGGGCATTTCTTTGTCCCTTAACTTAATCATGTGTTTCAAAGGATGACGTGAGCTCCACAACTGCAATGCAATATGGGCAATTTTCAAATACGAGATAGCACGCGAGAGAGAGGAGGGCACACGCGAGGCGGGAGGAAGTTCCTTTAATATCTCCTCAAGCATGTCTAACATATTTACAGATAAAATTACCATGGTGGACTCGATGATGACTTGGGGTGTTAAAGATGTATTCAAGAGGTCCAAGAGATCGCACAATCTCTGTATGAATCCAGAACTGATAAAGCATGTTAAACTGAGCATGAACACAGAAAATTGATGGAGGAACAGCTAAAGCCAAGGGCATGTAAAAAATCTGTAAAACAAGAGGAAATAGATACATTTTTGAACAAATAAACTTTTAACAAAAATTTTGCTTTGCGCACATGCCAGAAACAAATAATTTATTGGCATACTGTAATAAATGCAAAGCATCGGGTACATAAGCAGAAACCTATACCATTGTATCCAAGTATATGAGCAAGTCCCCCGGCAAACAAGCTTTGTCTTTCTCAATTATAAAGGGGGGCAGGGGTGGGGGGTAACAGGCATCCTAGGACTCCTCCCTTCTTTACTCAAGCATTAGATAGTCATTACTACCGTTTTAAGGTTGGACATGAATGCTTCCTCTTAAGTTGCTTCAGCCCTTACAGACTGGTTGTACATTTTTTTTTGGTGAACAAAGGCACCAACTTGAGACTTGGGGTTGACAAAACACAATGATTTGCATACAAATTGTCCATCCAAAGCTCAATCTCATTTTATTGTGTTTGCTCATGTGGGAAAGGCCTTGACAAATGACTCTCCAGACTTACCGCAGATGTGTAATTTTGTACCACAGATTGTCGCAAGGCAGTTGTAAGATTATAATCCTCTGAACTATGATGCGCTTGATGGGCTGCCCAAAAAATATTGATTTCTACAAAAAGGTCCAAAAATTTATTAACAGTTATACACTTAATAGCTTCTTTAAAAATTCACTTCATACATCATTTTTCGAAAAAATTACAGATGAAAAAGAAATATATGCCAGTGAAATAACAACGTAATATAAATCCTTTTGTCACTTCTCTCTCCCCAAACAAACACCCATACTCTAATGAGCACCCTCCCTAAATGGGCAATCACTCTAATCAACCAACTGAGTAAATAACATTGCACCCCTGAAATAGAACCCACGGTCACCAGCACTCTCTTACAGACTATACTTTTACTTTTATTGCTCAATATTGTATCTAAGTTTACAATTTCTTGGTAGTGCAATGTACTTAAAACAAAAATTTTATACAATATTGAGCAGAAAGTCTCAGAAGCTTTTCTGGGCTTATCAAGGAGACTCCCTGTCAATACAGTTACCAAGGATAATCATTTGATGACATAGACAATTTTTGGATCAAGGAAATGAAGTTTTACATCATCACGGCACAGGCGGCTCAGGAGTAAATGGGTTAATGTATTAAGACATGCCACTTACCATGAGCTGCCCTATGGAACCAGTAATATATAAAATCCACTCCAATAAAACAAATGTACCAGGTCCATGGGGAATCCCAGGGCAAAGTCACCAGATGAAAATTAT